CCCTTGTTTTGAGCTGTGAACCGCCCTGAGTCCCCCTCGGGGGAAAAGGGCAGCATACAAATGAAATAAACAGTTAAACAGTTAATTCTGAGTGAGAGTCCTGATCCCAGAGGAGACACAACTGGTGCACAGGATGCAGCTGTGCAAAAGTCCTCCTCACCACAGCTGCCCCTGCTCCTCCAGCAGGAGCCGAGTCTGGAAAGAGCCCCTGCTTGAGGAGGGCCCCCAAGCAGGAGATTAGACCCCGTTTGGAGCCCAAACCACTCTTATACCTTGGAGGAAGTCGGTCTAGCTCTGTTCTCCACTATGCAGAAACCGGATACCCAGCATTATTATGCTTATGATGGTCAGCTTCATGCAAAATCTTTTAAATGAACGAATGAACCTCTTTTGACCACAAGCTCACCAAGCCCCGTGTTTCATATGTTTTGTGGGTTCCTCTGGCAAATTATATGGGGCATGTCAAACTTGTGGAGCAGTTTGGGGAGAGTGATTATATTTTTGTGTGTGTTTTGACTGTGATGTGTCTGTCTTAGGACTTGCCGCTAATTGACATGAATTTCTCCTCTCAAAATAGTAGGAAACTGTTTCCAGCAGTGACGCTCAAAGGGATTTGTAAGGCTGCTGTAGGCCTTGAAATGGGTTGAGTTTTCATCTGATTCATCCTGAATCTTCCACCAGGATCTCTCTAGCCCTTTGCCCATCCTTTCATCACCATGGGCTCCTTGGGAAGAGCAAGGGACCTCAGCAGGGAAAGGGCACTGGGGAACAATTGCATCAATTGTGAGATTAGAGAGAACCAACAGTTTTGGTGCAAGATATTTTCTGAAAATTCCAGAAAACAATTTGGATCTAAAAGAGGTTATCCGATCTCCTTAGCCACAATCGTGACTGCGGAAGACCAGCAAAGTAGCTCAGGTTAATAAGGTTTATTAGGAAAATGGTTTTATACAAGAATTCTAGTGAGTAACCTTGCATTCAAATGTGGACCACTCATAGTTGTTGGATTCTAGCTGTTTTTCTCTTGTGCTTCTGCTATAATGCATGATAGTTTCTACCCACATTCTCAATGTGGGAATTTTCCTTTCTGGTGACTAACCATCCCTGCAGTAAAAGGTGTTCCTGTAAGTCCTGTCTACTCTAACAGGCAGGCAGGCAGGTAGGAATTTCTCCACAGCAGAGAAATATCTGCTACCCGTCCACCTTCAGGTGGTATTCTTGCTCTCTTGCAAATCTGCTATTCAGCAAGCTTGAGTTCGTCACATCTTCCCATAAGGGCCTGTAGCTGTCTTGCAAAATAGGTAATACTTACCATGAAGGGAGAGCTGTGGCTCTTGGACATGTGGCTGAGAGTTCCCTTGGTCACCCATAGCTACTTCCAAGCTCCCAGGCGCGGTGCAGAATCTCTCCCCATTGTCTGAGCAGGCCTCCCCTCGAGCCATGGGCTCATTCCCTGGGGGAACCTCTCTCCTCTTCCTGCTTTCCCGCCCTCCAGGGCTCCGTGGTGTCCAACACATACCTCTTTTTGACAGTTCCTCCTCTGATCCAGCCCTTTGAGTTTCCTCCGGCCTCCATCGGGCAGCTGCTGTACATTCCGTGCGTGGTCTCTTCGGGCGATATGCCGATCCGCATCACTTGGAGGAAGGACGGGCAGGTGATTGTCTCAGGCTCCGGCATCACCATCGAGAGCAAGGAGTTCATGAGCTCCTTGCAGATCTCCAGCGTCTCCCTGAAGCACAACGGCAACTACACCTGCATTGCCAGCAATGCCGCTGCCACCATTAGCCGAGAGCGTCAGTTGATTGTACGAGGTAAGGAGCCGACTGGGCTTTGGTGGGGAAAAATCCCTGACGGTTCCCAAGGTGGTCCTGGGTGGCTTCCTGCCCAGGAAGGGGCTGTGCTTCTTCCCAGATAATGGTCCAGATAGAAGAGGCCGCTGGGCCAAGCTTGGCGCCGTCTGCCATACATTACCAGGAAGCCATGGAGGAAGTTGCTTGATGAACGCTCAGCAAAGAGTTAGGACTTCAGCTGGCCCAGCTCTTGGGGGCTCAGAACAGGGGAACAGGGCTTGGTGCGGCTGAATGGGTCCAAGGAGCAGAAGGGCCTAGAAGGGCAATTACAACAATACGTAGACGGGAGAATTAGAAAGGGGCTTTAGAGGAGATGCTGTCCCAGATGCTTCCAGTCAGTCACTTTGGGAAGCAGGATTTATGTAATCATTTATTTAATCCAATTTCGAAGTTGCTGGATTCCTTAACAACTCTGAGTGGCTTACATAGAAGAGATTAATGAAATAAATATTTAAAAAACACCGCCAAACAGAGCAAAGCTAAGCTAAACTCTACACCTACCCCAGAGAATATTTTAATCAATTGTAAAATGCTGTGGGGTATCCTAAGGATGGGAGTGGTACAGGTCTTGGCGGGGTGTGGGGGTGTGTGTGGAATATCATCCTGGAGGGCAGGGACTGCAACCAAGTGGGGGGTGCACCTCCTGGGTGCTGCAACATGGCATTGCTGGATAGGTGGCACCTGGAGGGAACCCGCTCTGCTTGAAGGGCACAGGTGGACAGAAACAAGTGGAGAGAAGCAGCCCCCCAGCCATCCCTCTGCCATGAAGACTTTAAAAGCCACAACTAGCCTCTCGGGTTGATTGGCAACCAATGCCGATGGGGGAACAGAGGGGGTCCCAAGAGCATAAAGCTCTGCTGCTGTCATCACTGCTCACGGAGCTTCTACAGTGTTTCTGCAAGGCCTTCAAGGGCAGCATAAGGATAATTGTAGCATAAGGGTAATTACCGTCATTCAATTGTGAGGTGCCCAGGAGTTGAGTGAGTCCTTGAAGAGCCTCCCAATCCACGGAAGGGCGTAACTTGCCCACTGCATGTCCCTATGCAAAAGACCTCTGGGCCACAGCTACCACCTCCTGCTTTTTGAGAGTCCTACGTACGTCCTACCATCCTCCTAGTTCTACCAAAGGTCATCAACAAGGGCAACCAAAGTGACTTCCACACGAAACCCTGCCCTGAGTACCAGCTGAAACAGGTCGAGATCATCTGCTTCTGCTGGGGACCTGGAAGCTGAAGCCTGACTACCTTTTCCACCAACTTCCCTGGAAAGGCAGATTGGAGACTGGATGGTCCAGGGCTGTTGGGTGCAGCTGCGACTTTTTGAAGGGGGGGGGCACAGAAGAAGGGAACCACACTCACCCAAAGAAGTGGACACTCCCAGATGAACCCAGCCACAAGTCACCTCCTGGGCTGCTCTCAGTGCCCCTTCCAGCCTGTGGCCGATGGCAGATTGTCCGCCAAACCCTTAGGGGAGCCCCAAGAAGCCAGTCGGGTCCCAGCGCTGCTTCAGCAGGCCTGGTGCCTGGAACGTTCCTGGAGGGGAGCAGCAGCCAGGAGGCCGGGGCTGCTCAAGTGGACCGCCCTCTGCTTCACGTGCTCAGCTAATGCCATGCAGCCAAGGGAGGAGGGCGGGGGGGGGGTCTGTCTTCCCAGCAGAGAGTGAGGGACGGGTAGGGCGATGCAGAATTGTGGGGGTGCAGGCAGAGGAGTTGGGGGGGGGGAGTGATTTAGAACAGAATGCCATCTAATGTGACAAATTATCCGGCTGAGCTGACCTGTAGCAGCTCCAGGCCTGTGGGTGGACATTGCAGAGGTGATTTGGAGTTCTGGTTCATCTGGCAGTAGGAGAAAAAGACACATCAGTTGTAAAAGCGGCTCCTCAGCACTTCGGCTGTTTGGGATGGCCACATTGTTCTTCTTCTATGCGTTGTGCTCCTGACAGAACCAAAAACAAGGTAGCAAAACTGGTGAACTGAATGGCAGCACTGCTCCGTGTGGCATGGCCGGCCTTAGATCGCATTCCAGGCCAGGAGAAATGTCCCTCCTGCCACACGGGCTCTGGTTCTGCCCCTGCCCCTGCCCTGCGGAGGCTGATCCAGTGGCATGCTTCTGCACCTCCAGCGGCTCCTCACCCCACACATCTGCCGAAGGAAAAGCGGATGCCTTCTCCCCAGCGGCAGCCGTGCGCCTGTCACCATCTAACGAGAGCAGACAAGGCCTGCCTGTGTCCTGTGTTCCAACTGTGGTTGCCCAGAGATTTGGTGGCCATTTCTTCAGAATCGTATAGGTTGAGTGACAGGTTGGACTAGAAGACCTCCAAGGTCCCCCTTCCAACCCTGTTATTCTGTAAAAGTGGAGGAGGCTGAGAGGGGAGATGGGGGGGGGGACTGAGCAGCGGGGTCTCCGGCATTTATTCAGGCCTGACGTTTTTGAGGGAGGCTTTGGGAAGGTCCCTGGGCTGTTCCTCACAGGCTGCTCCCATGTTCCGCAGTGCCTCCTCGTTTTGTGGTCCAGCCCAACAATCAGGATGGGATCTATGGCAAAGCTGGGGTCTTGAACTGTTCGGTGGATGGCTATCCCCCTCCCAAAGTCATGTGGAAACACGCTAAAGGTACGTGAGACCTTTCCTTTGGGGCTGCAGTGTAGGGGGCTCTGCCCTCAAAGAGTGCGGAGCAGGGACTTTGGTCCACAGCTGGGAACTGACAGGCCAGCATGGAGAAGAGAATCCAAGGTGGCCTGGTGGATGGCTTGGTCCGGCTGGTGGCCCCCCTTTCCCCCCGGCCATTGAAGGGACTTTTTCCCACCCTCTTTTTCTTCCAGGCAGTGGGAACCCCCAGCAGTACCACCCTGTCCCCCTGACGGGCCGCATCCAGATCCTGCCAAACAGTTCACTGCTCATCCGGCATGTTTTAGAAGAGGACATCGGCTATTACCTGTGCCAGGCCAGCAACGGGGTTGGCACAGACATCAGCAAGTCCATGTTCCTCACCGTGAAGAGTGAGTGATGCAGCCGTGCCCGGCCCTTTCTCAGGGAGAGCACCGTTGGCGTGGGCAACCAAGGGACTGCTTTTGTTCGTGGGGTGGGGCCGCTCCTGGATGCTTTGTGCATCCGTTAGCCCCCTCCCCCTTCTGAATATAACGGCTCTTAGCTTAGTCCCTCCTTCGTACCATTTGCCAGGTTATTTTGCCCCTCTGAACAAGGTCTTGGCTGTCCCATTAGTTGGGACTGTCACCCAAGTGGTCTCTGATCACAACTACTCTGTGCTTGGCGGATCAGGGGGGCCCTTCAGTTGCTCTGGCCGGGTTCACTCGTGGCACTTCCCTTGCAGTCCTGGAAGTCAACGCAAAGAAGGGGACCCCTCGGCTTTAATAAAACCAGGCCCTCAGCCGCGGGGGAGGCAAGATCGCCATCCCTAATAGCAGGCATTCCACCCAGTAGCCCAGAAGAGTTTGGGGCAGGTAAAGGGAGAGACCTGTGAAGGGTCTTGGGGGGATGTTCTGCTCTGCCACCAGAGGAAGCACCCTTATGAACCCCCTTTTTTATCCTTGGCTTTGGAGTTTTGTATTAGGCCAATTGTTTTCTCCACTTGTCAGTCATTATTCTGAGGGCTCTGGGAAGCCCTTCCCCCTAGGGTGATTATAGCTTATGAATCCCCCCCCCCCTTTTTTCAGCTTTTATGCTCTACTCATGCCATACGCATGCCATGCTCTTGGCACTGTCAACCAGACTGGGTGGGGGTGGGTGGGGGGGCTGAGCTAGGCTGGGCTGGGCTGGGCTGGGCTGGGCTGGGCTGGGGTGTCCCAAGCCCATAACAGGGCCGTTGCCCATTTTGCAGCCATCACTCACATGCTCCTGGTAGACAGCAGGTGCACGAAGGCTGGAGAGGTGGCCTCACTGTCTAAGCATTACTGATTGCTTCCATGCATTTTAAATTAATCTCATGCTTCAGGTGAAATGCAGCTAATCAGGGTAGACAAGAAGCTGAAAAGGGTGCAATCAAATTAACATCACAGAGCTTGCACTTAAGACCACCCCCCATGTTTGCTTTGGCTCTCTTCCCTTTCAGGCCCCTGTTCCTTTTTGTTTGCTGCTCTGCTCTAGTGGGACTGGGGGGGAGGAGGAGGAGGGGGGGGAGAATACCCCAAACACTGACAATTCCCATTGTAGCTGCCTTATCTCAGGCTGCCAAATGGAAACAGCCTCTTGCCTACAACTTGTTCACAAGGCACCAAAACGAAGAGCCCGAAGGGAGAAGGGGGTTTGCTTGGGGGTTGGTTGGTGGCCTTTTGCAGGGTTCGCTTCTTCAGGAGAGGTGGGAGAGATGACCTCCAGGTGCCTGCCTGCGGTCTACTCTTTCACGATGGAGGGCTGGTGGGCAGGTGGAATGTCCTGCGCTAGCCCTCCCTTCTCAAGGACCAGAGAGCTTTCCGGCAGGAGCCTGGGACCAGCCTTGCTCCTGGCAGGGAATTTGACAGCTTCATGTGTCCTCTGGAAAGGTCCTTTTCCCTAACCTGACATCCCCATTATTCAAATCTGTTGGATGACCTCCAGGGCCTTCCTGCTGTCTCCTCATCTGCTATGGCCCAGGGCCCACTTTTCCTAAAGAAAGGAGTCTCTGGGAAGCCAGAGATGAGCATAACCAGCGGTGGCAACCATTCAAGGTTCTAGACGGCTTTTAAGAGCCATCGGTGGGCAATGGGCACATGAGGATGGCTTCCTTCTTTTTGCTTTCCCAGCTCCAGGCATTTCTGTGGGATATTTGGGGGCCCTTAAGATTGGGGCTGAGGGGCTTTTGGGCATAACGTTCTGCTTTGTGAGGATGCTTGTTGCGAGCTCAGTTCAACTGCTTTGCAGCTACCGTAGTAACTAAGCTGAAAATTGAGGCCTGTGGGTTCTTAATTTATCTAAATTAAGGGTACTTCAAATGGTCACTCACGCCCTCGTCACCTCAAGACTGGATTACTGTAACACGCTCTACATGGGGCTGCCCCTGAAGAGTGTCCGAAGACTACAGCTGGTCCAGAATGCAGCCGCACGAGCGATAATGTTACACCTATCCTCCGCGAGCTGCACTGGCTTCCTATCAGTCTCCGGACTCGCTTCAAGGTGCTAGTCGTTAATTTTTTTTTTTTAAATAAAAAATATTTTAATTTTTAATTTAAAACAGGCACAACATCTTTCTTTACATACTATAAAAAGTATATCAGTCGGTCACAAATAAACTTTGGTACAT